CTCGCTCTCTCTCTCTCACTCTGTCTCTCTGTGCAGTTTCCTGGAAGCACATGCGTCGCAAATTCGGGTCTTCGCAGGAAGGCGACGAATCCGACTCGTCCGTGGAGCCCGATGTCATCGACTACCGCAACGAGGCGATGGCCCACCCCATTCTGCTGTCATTTTCAGGTGTTGAGTACGAAACCACATGTGACTGCTCGATTGCTCCAGCGCTTGTCCAAGCCGAAGGGTGATTCGGAGTTGCAGTCCGAAGGCGCGAGCCATCAGTTTTTCGTTTCACCTCGAGGAAAACCCACTTTCGCCCTCAGCCCCTTGAGGGCAAAGAAGACGTCCTACTTCCCTTCCGTTTTGCCATGCAAGCCCAACCCTACAGCCCGAGCTGTCCGGCAGACCTTAGCCGAAGCTGCCCAGCCCATGCAGGCTCGCTGGGGCGCTCCGGAAGTGAGCCTGGGAGGTGGGGGATGGGCCCAGGGTCGATCTTCTGGTCCCTTTAGGGTTTAGGATGGGTTCATTAAGAGTTCAGGGTTTCGGGGGAGTTCGCCGTGTGGTGCGTTCTCGGCAAGAAGAAGGCCTCTACCAGAACAAGCACACGAAGAAGAACTGGCATCCGAGCGTCCGGATGAACCGCAAGCGCCCGAAGAAGTACCTCAAACGCCGCGGCCTCACCATCTCTTTAGCTTGCCGTGGCGTTAGACTCTTTGCAGAGCACCCACCTTATGGTCGTGATCTTAGGTGATTAGGTGTCTACTACATGGGGGGCCTGTAAAGCCCAGCCTTGCCTAGGCATCGATGAGAAGCTGGAGGAGATGAAGAAGGCGCAGCCCGCTGTGTTTTGTGTTGGGAAGGATCCGAGCCACCAAGTTCCACCGTCCTCAGATCTTCTCTGAAAATCTCATGACTCTAGTGGACGGAGAAGACTCCGAACCTTGAGAACGAGATGGGGGTTTCCATGAAGGAGCCTTGGGCAGTGGCGAATCCCAACTGTCCGGCTAAACCCTAAAGCTAAGCCCTGAACTCACATGAATCCCATGGAAAGGAGGGCAAGAGGCAGCTCAGCGAGGAGATGTCGCAGGCGGTGACGAAGCGCCCCAGCTGGAAGTTGGGCTTTCGAGGCCCCGGGTTCAAGCTCCCACGGTGTCGGACATCGGGCTGCGGAAGTTTGGTCCAAGGCGAAGGGTGCCGACCCTTACGGAAACCAAGAGATTTTGGACTGGAGCCTTGGCCGCCGAGGTGGGAGAAGGCCCAGTTCGAGCACAAGGAGGCGAAGCTCGTGCTGGACAAGGCCTGCCACCTCTGGTAATCAGTGGGTTGGAAGCAGATTCGCAAGTTGATCCTTTTTGATTGGGGTCAGGAGGGGTCAGGAAAAGCAGGGCACGGCTTGTTGGTTGAGTCTTTAGGGCTGGAATTGGCTCGCCTTGAAGAGTTCGGGTCCTCTCGGATGAAATCGGTCGGATGTGCAGAACCCCGAGCCCACAGAGCCTGGAGCCTTTGCCCCAAAGACGTCTTCTGCACCTGCCCCTGCCATGTGAAGCAACCGAGACCCATGCACCTCCAGAGAAGCCCTGAAAGTCCTGGTCCTCAGGAGGTGGAGACTTTCAAAAAGCTGAAGGACGGCGGGATGGGGATTCGCCCGATAAGTTTCCAAGAGGGCGGGTGCTTCCGCTCTTTCGCAGATCCGCGCCCTAAGCCCGAAACCGCCGTAAACCCTAAACCCTGTCCTACCTGAGCCCTGGCAGAGAGCCCTGAGACTGCGCGAAAATGCCAGGAGCGCTCCGAGAAGCTGGTTGGGGAGCTGGAGCTGGGGCCGTGATTATAGGCTGTAGCAGGTAAACGGTGAACTGGTGAGCAATCCATGATCTATGAAGTAGAGTTGGTAAGATCTTTCAGCTATGGTATATACGATACAACATGTAGTACAGCGCTGCTGGAGGTTTTGTAATAGCAGAGGCTGGGAGCCAAAGAAACTCCGACGATCCTCCCAAGCCCAGGAGTGGGTGAGCAACTACCTCGGCGAGGAGCGGGCGAAGTTCACGTCCTTGCCCCTTCTCTGTGCCCTGGTCGCTTCGCTGTCGGCTTCGACCGACAAGATCCCGCGTCTGCTACTACCTACTAGTAGTATCTACTTCCCAAAGCCCGATGCCAGAGACGAATGCAGACAATCCCAAACTTGCTAATCCCAGGTTCGGGCGGCCATCTGTCAATTATGGGTTCTCCGACGGTCCTCCCTTGCCAGACGCGTGAATGAGCGCTCTGCCATCTGAGGCCCTGTCTGCCAAAACGAAGTCGATGCCAAGGCCGGTGCTGTGCTCATGGCATGAGCACCTTTGTCAGGCTAGTAGAATACTCGTGTTCCACCCCATGCAGCAGGTTGTTCTCTGTGAAAGTCACGGTTTGGTCTCAGGTGGAAGCAGTCACGGAGGTCCTGCCCACTCCTGGCGAAGGAGTGCCATGGGTCCCCAAGACGGTCATGATTTAGGGTTGAGGGTTAAGGGCAAAGATTCGTCAACAGGTGCCGGAGGGCAGTTTAGGAACTGAGAGGCCTGTCGGCTTGGACTGGGTTTAGACAGTTCGTGACTGCACGCCATGGCTTGAACTGCTTCAGCGAAGAGCACCCTTTCGATTCGACGAGGGTGTGGGAGTAAGGTCCCACTTGTGTCTGACAACAAGTAGACCCCAAGGTGCCAGACGTACATTTTGTGTCAGTAGCCATGCTACCACAACAGTACCAATCAAAATGAACCACAGCAGAAAAGACGGTCGTGGTGGCAGCGGCCTGGTCTCGAGCGCTCGGTGGTAGCCAGGAGCCGGGTCGAATGAGGAGGAGATCCGAGATTCCGCGGAGCAGGCACGAATGGAGGGTTCACTCTTACAAGAGCAACAAAGCCTCCTCTAGGTGTCACACTCTTGAAGCTCAACAGGGGTCTCAGTTTTTTCCGGCAGTTCCATCTGATTTACTCGAATGGGTGTTGGAGTCCAGGAGGCCTTCGGCTTGGGACTTTCCATCCTCTGAAGATTCAGAGGTTCGGATCCCTGTGAGAAGGGCGACGTTCCTTTAAGTGACTGCCCTCTGATCCAAGAGCCTCGCCAGCTGCGAAGAATCTGGAGAGAGGCCCTGAACAGCACAGCAGGATTCGTATTCAGGTACTGCGTAGTGATGCCATGGTGTATTATGGGACTTTCCGAAACTTAGGGTACCTTCTTTTGGGGTCCTTATAATATCACCAGGATGAGGCGGCTCGCCGCGCGCGCGAGGCGGCGGAAGAAGAGGCTCGCAGAGCTTTTTTAGTGCCGTTGCCCTGAACCCTTCAGTTGCATGGGACCCTGTGCCCGGAGCATCGAATCTACCTCTGAAGTTACTTCTTTGTGCAGGAGCTGAAGCGCCAGAAAGCTCAAGCCGAGCTGGCGGAGCGGGAGGAGAAGCTCCTCTTCATGCCCCGGGCCCAGGAGTTTAGAGTCACCTTCGGGATGGTTTTCGGGTTTAGGGTCCAGGTGGGGTGTAGGAGCATTTTGCGCCCCAAGCGCGCCTTGACGATGGACAACTTGTTGATATGGCGCACTTCGAGGAGCATTTCAAGCCCGTTTTAAGCTTTCTCCAAATCTGTTTATGCCCCTAGATTTTCTACTGTAGAATATTACTGTAGAGTATATTCTAGTATCTAAGTTCAAGCACATTCTAGCATATTCTAGCATACTATTCTAGCGTATTCTAGCATACTATTCTCGTATTCTCGTATTCACATATGACTACGAGCACTAGTCTAAGTATTGGTACAAGCATGAGTATTCGTATTAGCATTAGTATGGGCACTAGCCTTAGTAACAGGACCAGTCTTCGTGTCAGTACTAGTACGTACTAGTATTAGTATTAGCTTTTCTTTTACTAGCATTAGTATTAGTTTATAAGTTATCATGCTACCAAGGATGACCAAAGGCGCAGCCGGGAAGCTGCTCGGCTGGGAGAGGACGATTGAACTCAACTGGGTTTCTGAGCTCCCGAGCCCTGTCCACAACTCTTCATAAACCGTGTCTGAACCTGCGGTAACACCATCACCTCGTAGTCCTTAGATCGAAATCTTACTGTGTTTTGCCCTTGGTCCACAAGCATTTCGCCACAGTTTTCTGCGAGGCTCCAGCCCCCGAAGCCCGAAGACACGGACGTGGCGGAGGGTGACGAGGGCAGCTCTGCTTCCGCCAGGGGCGACGACACCGCACCCTGGCGACAAACTGAACTTCAAGCATCTTGCAGGAGTCCTAGTTTCAGGAAATTCTTTAATTTGAACTCTCATTTAATACATTGCACCTGCGCATGTGTAGAATCTACACCATGAAGTTGACAAGACGGACATGATCGGTTCTCGTACATTAATCCAGTGCCAAGGAGGACATCGAAAGGGTCGTCAGCCTCTTGGCTCAGAGAGCGCAGAGGCACGGGGTAGAACTCCTACCACAGCCATCTTCAGTCATCACTTGTCTTTGAGCTTCAGCCCCAAGCCCTAAACCGATGTGTTTGCAAAGGGTGACGCACCGATGCTGGTTGCTGTGAACCCCAGACCTCGGCCTGCCCAGCTGAGTACTGGCAGTCAAGGGTAGCAAGCAGGGAGTCCATGACTCAGACACTCAGACTGCGCGGGGGTCTAGGGTCGGTGGCAGCGGGCGTTTGTCGTGAGCCTTAGACTTTCTAAGGTCAACCTCCGTCCGGCGAGGTGGGTGCCGCAGCGGCTACAGCGCCTGCCATGGAGGCGTTCGGGCCAAGTCAATGCTTCGGTGGGAACACGACGAAGTATGCAACAGATTGGATAATTCTCCGGATGAGAGCGGGTGTCCGCACGACAACGTCAGTGAGGCAAACAGCCTGCCTGACACGTGGAGTGGAGAAGGTGCCAGCATTCACAAGCAGGCTCACTACTGCAACCGGCTGTGCATCGGTTCAGCGTGAAAGAGGAAGTTAGGGACCAACGTCGCGCTTCCCAACTTCCTCTTAGTGGCTTAGTGCTTCAATCGAACCGACAATCAATCCTACTCATCTTACTCATCGCTTTTTCTGCTTTTTTGATCGACTCAAGCGGTGCCCTCAGACCCCTGCCGCTGGCCGACAAGTGCCCGGGATGCAAGAGTGTGGAAGGCATCGGAAGGGCACGCCAGCACACGTGGGATTGAGGATAGCTTCGGGCTTCGAGGAGGACCGTTGCGGTTATGGGATCAGGACTCTCAGAGGATTGCCTGATGCCAAGTACCTTCCCCTGCTACTCCCAGGCACTGGATGACGAGCTCCTGAACACCATAGAGCTTCTAATGGAAGCCTACAGCTGCTTGTCTCGATGGTGACTCTGAATCAGAGGGTGAGGCGGCACCTGTCCAGCCAGGGTAGCTGCCGACAGGGTTCTGTTCGGTCGCCTGGAAAGGTAGCTGAAAGTTCAACGGGACAGGTGCATGAAGCGAACCGTCTGGAGCATGCAAGTGCCTGGCAAGCAACGGATTCCTCGATCCCGATCTTCCTCCTCGTTTTCGGAGGGTTTCTGTGGCAGAAGCGGGGATAGCCTGTCCAGCGTCTCCTGAGGCGCCAAAGAGGTGGAGGGCCGAGAGCTGCTCGAAGCGCGGGCGACAAATACTTCAGTTTTGTTTTTTTCTTGTCCTTTCCTGTGTGGTTAGGGGTTCTCTTCCGTGGAGAAACCACCAGCTGCGCAACTTTGTCGGTGATGTGAAAGCTTGGCATTCAGACCACCAAACGTTCCTTCCGAGTCGATTTCTTTTGCTGCCCGGCCGAACCAAGGAGCCGTTTTCGGAGTTGCTGGAGGTGCTGAGAGGCAGCGAGAAGCCCACAGACTTGGAGATCAAGGCTCCAGTTCTCACGGGCCTCTGGAGTTTAGGCGGGACAGGTTTGGGTTGAGGAGATGTTCACGAGTGCGAGGGCGTGGACTCAGAAGTATCCACCATGTAAGACGAGGCCTCGTTGGTTGTGGCGTCTGACCTCTGCAGGATGTGATGACACGTCCTTTCTATCGGCGAGGTCCCTCCTCTTTGGAGGGGCCACCTGAAGATGCATCAAAAAAACACGAACCGAACATTGAGTCCTTAAGCCCGACGCTCCCGAAAGCCAACCTCCGTGGCACTGGGCCTGGAAGACCAGAGGGCTGAGACTCTTCAGTCGGAGACTTCCGCCGACCAGGAAGTCTTGGTTGAGATGATGGGCATCATCGAGGAGGCAGGGCATGTGGTGCGAGATTCGGGGAATCCGCTGCCAAGGCTTCTTTGCAGGTGATCGGCCCTTGGGCCTAGGGGCTTCCTACCCGGGGCCTGGGCCCACCCCTTCCCACTTCCGATCGCTCGAACCCCTGCGCCCTGCAGGAGGAGCGAGGTTGCCAAGTTTAGAGGCTCCTGTGCTTCGCTCTCGAGGTGGGGTTGGGCTTGGGATGTTGCCGACAGTGTTGCGAGGTGTGGGCACGCCCGAAAAAGGACCCGACAGTCCCGAAAGTCCTCAGTCCGAATGCCCACCGAACTAAGCCTTGGACCAACCTTCCAAAACCCATCCAAAGACAGAACTGTGAGAGCCTTGTCTGAGATGGTCACCCAATGCCAGGACCTGCTAACGACACGGCCGCCGTTTTGAGGCCGCATGTCAACGAGGTTTTTGCCTTGAATGTCTAGGACTAGGATAACTCGGAAATTGGTAGATTGACTCCCTCGGACTGTTGTTGGGTAGTGCACCTCGTGCTCTTAGACACAGCAGCACAGGGCTTGTGCAGCTTGCAGTAATTTGATCGGAAATAGTGAGGTAGGGGTTCTCGGGCCAGGTTTGGTCACGTTGGGCTCAAGTCTCAAGTGTTGGGTTAGTCCCATATCTCTCGGCTACCAGCACGACTAGGCAGGGAGCGAGGCCGACAGCGAACAGCCAAATTCACTCTATCTCTGACTCTCTTTCTCTTCCTCTTTTGTTCGATGTTGGCTTGCGTATGAATCTGTATCGCCAGCAGCTGCGAGTGTGCGAAAGATTTTGCCGAGCCTCTGCGAAGCCACGCCCCAGTCCTTCGAGCCAGGCGTTCCCAGCGCAGAGCGGCGCCGTGCTATTGGGCCACCGTAGAAATGCTTTGGTTTGGTAGATATCGCAAACCCAGGGAGAGTTCGCATGAAGGGGGCGAAGGCAAGCAAAAGATCGTAGGGGGATTAGTGACTAGGCAGTCCTCTTGAAGTTTTCATGCAAGAAGAGACTTGTGTTTTTAGTTCGGACGCATTCCTTTCGATAGCTGCCATAGCTGCCGTCGGACGGCGTCTTTAGCTGCAGAAGACGCAGCATCGTCGTCTGCCTGACCCAAAAGGCTTGCGTGATGCCGCGTTTTCTGCAAGCATGTCCATCTCCGATGGCTGGCCATTGTTGCAGGATTGGCTTCAAGTGGAGTGTCACGCTTCATGAATGTTCTTCTGCTCAAGCTTTAACTTTTTGGAACTTTCAAGAGTCCACATGCCGCTAGATCCAAGAAAGGATTTGTCAGTCATCAATTTAGTTGACGACGTGCACGCCTGCAGACCAATCATCAGGCAGCAAACCCGAGAGCAAGCATCACAGGACCACGGAGTTGCAATGCAGTCTGGCAAGTAGGATAGTGCTTCTGGCCAGTTTTAGTCATGACATGGGCTCACAAACCCAAGCGAGTCGTGCGTCGCGGCCCTTGTGAGGGCTGCACTGCGGTCCTCAGCTTGAGAGAAGTCCAGATTTGCATACGCCTACGCCAGAAGCGAGATTCCATCCAAGCCTTTCCATGGAGCCATGGGGAAACGTGGCAAGGCTTCACATGGCCGAAGCTCGGTTTCAGTTGATCGGTCGCCTGCAGATGCGCCAAAGCTACTCGTACATAGCTCTGGGTCTCGGCACGCTCTTCCTGTGCCTGTCCATGTAACACCAAAGCTCTCTTATCTCAGCTCCTGCCCTGACACACAGCCCCTGAAAACCGAACGCACTCCCGAAGCGAAGTTCTCCCAGGAAGCAAGTCCCGGGGAAAGAGCAAAGGCTGCCTCAGGGCTGGCTGTGGGCGGTTTCAGAGCTCTTGGGTGGAAGGTTCAGGGTGCAGGGTTGTGGGGTTCGTTTTCTTTGCGTTCACCTCCTTGTGAGCTTTGTAGAGCGGATCCGAGCCCGCGGCCAGGCCCCGGTAAGCCCAGCAAGTCTGGCAAAGGTGGCAAAGGCGGGGCGGCAGAGACCTGGGCAATGCTGGGCAGTCGGCTGTTGTAGCCCTTTGGAACTTCTACGTTCGTGTCAAAAAATGGTTATATGGAAG